TTGGGCAACTCCATGAAAAAATGTACATACAGACCATCATATTCGAAATCCTCAGCTGAAACTTTGAGAACAATAGATTATTGTCTATAATTATCATTACACTGGTTGAACTCAAAAATGAAAGATCGTTTCCCACTAAAAAACCCTTCTTCACATCTCAAGCAAATACCTACCAATTTCGCCAAATATGGACGTGTTGAGAACGCCTGCTTGAGGCTAGATAAAAAGGGAAGAGATTTCATCAGAAATTGTCGAAACGTCTCCATCATATCTCAGACAGCTTACTCACCAAAGGATGAAATTCTGAACCAACTTGACTTGCGAGATACATAGCATGTCTGTTGTAAAGCTGAAATATATAGTTCTTCATTTCAACACACCACAGTTTATGCACAATCGGTTCTACATGTAGATTGGCATTCCGCATTGACTGTTGACCATCCAACAGTGGTTAAGGCTGTCACTAACAAAGTTTCTGTGATGAGAGTATAGGAATTTTGCGTTGGTATAAGTTTTGAAGGATTTGTTAGAAATGTTTGAGGGAACCTACTTAATGTTAAACACTGAGTTTCCTCAAACATTTCTTAAGGCCCGTTTACACTTGCAATTTTCGCTGCGATTTCTAGTGCGATTTTCGTCTTCTGATGCATGTGAACGAGTAGATGAGTTATGAATGATATAAGTATATGTACCCTCATCTGAACATTCAGAACTTATCTACTCGTTCACATCCATTAGACGAAGAAAATCGCACTAGAAATCGCAGCGAAAATTGCAAGTGTAAACGGGCCTTTACAAATCCTTCAAAACTTAGAATTAACCTATGCAAAATTCCTACTGTGATCACAGAAACTTTGATAGTGTAAACCATCCTTTATAACACTCAGTAAGTTCCCTCAAACATTTCTTACAAATCCTTCAAAACTTAGAATTAACCTATGCAAAATTCCTACTGTGATCACAGAAACTTTGATAGTGTAAACCAGGTTTAAATGGTTAGTATTTAAACTGGAAAGCTTAGGTTCGACTCCAGGTTAATTTAACCTTTTCAATTGAAGTCGCACCTACCTCATCATAGCTCTTGATCTCTTGTTCTTTTTCATCTCTGTGAAGGAGAAACGTTGGTTTTATAAAAATAGGTACGCAGTGTGTACACGTGATGACGTATTTCCGTCGTTATAAAATTTTAAGAAAATATCTAAAACCATCGTACCGCGTCACTTCCTGTGAAGCATGTTCCAGCGTATATTCGTACACCTCTAAACAAAACAACGCAGGCTATCAATTGTTGTATGGAAAACAATATTAGGACAATCGGAAATATATCTTGAACCAACCTTTGAGATCCCCTGAAGTCTGTATCCGGTAAGGTGATTTACTGGAATTCAAATCTGGTTTGATCGTGATCTGACCTGTTCCATCAATCTGAACGAGAACAGCAAAGAAAGCCCTCTCATTTAGTACCAAATGTTAACCCATTGATTGGCAGCACTCGAGTAATTTTAAAAAGTAGGTTGCATTAGGGTGTAATGCCACTTAAAGTGTTAAGCCTGGGTTTTACACTATCAAAGTTTCTGTGATCACAGTATGAATTTTGTGCATAGGTAAATTCCAAGTTTTGAAGATTTGTAAGAAATGTTTCCGGAAACTGACTTCATGTTAAACACTGAGTGAGTTCCCTCAAACATTCTTACAAATCCTTCATAACTTAGAATTTTCCAAAATTCTTACTGTGATCGCAGTGTCAACCAAGCCTTAAGTACAGTTAGTAGCTTCTATACAGTAGTTTGATTTTCTCTACCAGTAAGGATACGCTTTTGAAAGATAATTGGTCGGTTTGAAATTCAGGACACGACGCGACCAAGACCACCAACAGGATGTCAAAATGATGTTGATCGCGATATTAATGTTATGTCTTATGTACCTTGATAGAACAAAGAATGTACTCGTCATCCAGTGTCCCAACTCTAAAAAGAAGGTGGTGAATAATTAACAACCCAAATCCAAGGAAATGTAAACCAAATCATTGAAAACTATGGTAAGGTTTGGGGGGGGGGGAGTTCATTAAATTTTACAGGGCAGCAGATGCTGTTTCAGAACCTCGGAAAAAATGACACAAAATTAAACTACATCTCATTTCTATTGACCTCCAAATGTAAGAGTAAAGACTGACTACATATAATGCAAAAAATTAAAGTTGTTTTCTCACTCGGATAACTTACAGTTTACCACCAATCTAGGACACCATGATACTCTAATTAATTGCACATTCTGAATATTGTCAAAGTCCTAGCTGCTCCTTACCTATCATCTAAACTCAAGTCCGCCATAATGTACATAATTTTAAATGGTGTAGAAATGACATGACTGTTTTGTTTGGCCAATTCTCTTTGATCATCTGTGACGATATTGGTCCTTGGACCATGATGACCTAGTCTAAAATGTATTTCAAACAAAGATAGAGTAAAAGAATGCAAAACAAGATGGAACTTTGAAAGAGGGCTGTAATTTAAGCCCTGGTTGACTGGATTTTGCCACGCGCGTTACGAAAAACTCAACTATCATCAACAATTGAACCAGTTCAAAACTGATTGAGAGCTGATGAGAGTTTATATCTATTTGGAACATTGGGAAAAGAATTTGGCTTGAAGTTCGGATTACAACTATTCAAGCTGTTTCCAATTTTTTTTTATGAAATGTATCACCAGCGTTTAGTACCGATTCCTGGCTGATCTTCTATCAATGTTTCTCCTTCGTACATGAACCATATTGTTCGTTAGATAATGTGGCATTTCACTTGGATCTGTTGTCATGGTTTTACACACCTAGAAGAATTGATTGAATCAGATATAGACAGAGAGGTGGCAATGAGGGTACACCCCTCCCCCCCACACACACACTTTTTTCCAGCACCAACTGTAATTACTTCAAAACTGAAGAGAAACTCTTGATGTTTTGAGATTATGTCAAATCCATGAAATAGAATTTTGCAGACCTTAAAACTAGATGTCCCCCCCCCCCCACTTGTTTGGGGCTGGCCATGCCTCTGCATATACAACCTCATTTTCATGTGTGTGATATTGGTTAAAGCCCAACATTAGTTAAAGGCCGACGAAAACAAGGTTCTGTAATCAAGGTTTCATACATTCCAGAAGCGTATGTTATGAGGATACTATAGCATTACAAGGTTCTCGTAAAGTCTGTCTGCCCAGCTACAGTATTTAACAAGGTTCTAGTAAGGTCTGTCTGCCCAGCTACAGTATTTAACAAGGTTCTAGTAAGGTCTGTCTGCCCAGCTACAGTATTTAACAAGGTTCTAGTAAGGTCTGTCTACCCAGCTACCAAGTGTTCTCATTGCAGTACAATAATGAAGTGAATATTCAGAACCTCTTCAGTATTAGCATAATCATCATTATCAACATAGGTAAATATCTTGTGATTACGACGACCATTTTTCTGCCTTGGGTTTAAGAAATAACATTTTATTAACAGATCAAAGAAACATGTTGTATTGAAGTATACTGTAGGTAGATGTGTTTGTAGCACATGCCTTAAATTTGTGATATCACGATGATACTGTTCTTGAAGGACGGAATAACAATTTGGACGATTGCTATAAAACACCTCTTCTCTCTAAAAATTGTTAAATGTTATTAGTATCATTTGCAACTAGGGTGTTGCAGCAGTATTTATGCTGGTCTTAATAGTCATCACCCAGGAAAATTAAACAACTCAAAATGCAGGGCACTATCGAAATTTCCCCGGGCGATGACTACTAAGACCAGCATTCCTTGCAGGCATCAAGCCTTGTGAGACGTCATTATGCATTAAGGTCTATTGATAGTGCTATCAAGTTCCATCCAGTCACGATCAAGTTCCATTGTCTTTTCATTGTTTTGAAAATCCCATTATAAAGCTGTTCTCCAATAAATCTCCATGCCATCCAGTCACAGATTGTTTTGACCTGCAAAGAGTGTATTTATACCTGACTAAACAGCTTTTCCTGCCATTTTACAATAATTTCCTCCTGATCACCAGAAGTTGCTTCTGTAATTGAATCACATATATAAAACTAAATAATCAGATCTGTGCAGTACAATAGTGAACAGAATTTTGTTCACCGATATAAACATTAATTTTGACGCAGAAAACACGTACCGTGGCTACTTCTACCCATACGAGCCATTTCAATAGCTTCTTGCCCAAGGTCCTCGACATTTCTCAGGCTTTCTGCGGTCGAACCAAGTCTGGATGCGCTGGCAACAGGAATGCTACTCGCAGCTGTCACTTTTCGTAACTTAACTCTAAGAAACAAGCAAGAAAAATACTCCAACTCTACGCTTTACGACGAAATAAAGAGCCTACAAGGTAGTTTAATATATTTACTAGTTGTTTCAAGTTTCTATACCTCAATGCAAGGTTTTTCGGCAAGTCTAACGACCGATAATGTCCAACGTTCACATTTTCTAAATCTTCCGCCATATTTGTTTACATTTTGTTTACGCACAGCTAACCCAAGCAACATTTTTCTTGTGAATCGTAGGACTGTGTCGAGGTAGAATACCCGAGCCCGAGGAGTGAAATTAAGTGTATTTTATAATCCGGTTTCTTAGGGCCTGCCGGCCTGGGTAGCCGCCTAACCCGAGTTACTCTGCAATAGTGAATCCCACCCTTGGTACCAGAGCCTTTTAGTGAAATCTTGGCTTTCATAAAAAATTGATGGTTTCTTTGGATCACTGTTCATGGATTGCTCACAGGGGGCAGAAAAGTACGATTGTGTTTATTTAAAATACCTTGTCAATGTCATCATCCTATATATCGCATAGTTTCATCCAGGTTAAAATTTTTTTCGATAATATCATGCTTACTACTTCATGTAATTCAAACATTGCATTACAAGGACTGATCATATATAGTAGCGTGGTCGGCATCCTTTCGTAAGATGTTCGGAAATTGTCGTTGCAATGCAATAATGTTTGAATTACATGAAGTAGTTGGCATGATATTATCGAAAATATATATAAATATCAGCTAATTTTGATTCTTTAGTTTAATTAATGACTTTGTCTGCGATATAAGTATGCGATATTGGTTGATGACAAGGTATTTATAAAACACAATCGTACTTTTCTGCCCCCTGTGATTGCTTTGGGGATCTCTGCTAGACGTAAAAATACTTTACTTCGCTAAGGCCAAGTAAAAAAATTCCCAGTTTCTCATCAGGGCCCGCGTTAGGAAATAGCCGCCGCATTTGTATTTTTTTTTATTTTAAAATAATTGATAACATGAAATATTTAGCGGTGGGTGCGCCAACTTCATGGTTTTTTTTTATAAATACTATATTTTAAATAAATTTTTATATCTAAGTTCTGTTGTTAAAAAATAACTGGTTGTTTAATATAAAAAATAAAAATAAAAACCGCCCGCCGCATTTGCATTTTAAAAAACGTCTGATGAGAAACCGGGAATTTTTTTTACTTGGCCTATTAAAGAGACATGTACACGTTTGTTAATTATGGCCAAGGGCTGGTGTTCTGACCAGGGGGTACAAATTTCAAAATCAGAAAAAAGTGGGGGGTATGTTTTTAGAGTCGATGAAAAATGGGGGGGGGTACAGTTTTAGTTCTAGCAATTTCATACATTGCTTGACTAATTTGTACCATACAAAGAAAATATTGGGCAAAAATAAAAGAAATTTCTAGATTAGCAGAAAATACTATTAAATCAAAACAAAATATTTTGATAAATTCAAAAAACCGAAACATCAAGCAAATTATTTTTAAATGAAAAATATACAAATATAATCTCGACTCCAGACCATAGATTTTAAAGTATGGACAAATGTGTAACTTCAGTAAAAAAGTCCCATGGATATGGTCGCCATCTTCCTAGCAAGTGTTGCTCGTGTGATTATTCGTCATTTGGTAGTCATTGCTTTCGAAAATGCTTTCAACACCTTTTCTATAAGACTACAACTTTAATTAGCCTTTTCATGCCGCCATTTTTGGGTGGCTTTTCAGCCGAAGTTTGCGAGATAAGTCCACATAACAGCGAGTTTATATAATTTTTTGGACGAATGATGGTAAATTTGCTTTGTAAATGGAATGGTTAGTTTATCTTAATAATAAATTGCTTTTCACATTGTTATAATTGTTTGCATTTGGTTTTAACAAAAATTAGATGGAAAGGCTAATTGCTTTCAACAACTTTAATTAAACATTCAACAAATGATGCTCTTGATTGTTTAATCCATAAATTTCGATCCCAAAAGCCGCAATAATATTTAATAATATAATATAAAACATGTTTTAAAAACGTAAAACTGTGTGCGCGGCCTGGGACCAAGCATAGACAATCCAGACATGAAGAATGTCTTCTGGATTGTCTATGGACCAAGGAAATGATTGTCAGGGGGGGGGGGTACAGTACAGCTTAGAGATCACATGCTACCCTTGTGCGGTAAAAACCCAGTGTAAAAATCTAGGAATGGTAAAAACACTCGGCTTATCCATCGTGTTTCACATGCAAGTAGTTTTCCAGGATCTTTACCCGGTATCTAACTGCCGGTCGATTGTATTTTCCAGCCTTTTTACCTTCTGTGCTTTTTATCATGTTCAGATGTTCAACAAGATTCTACCGGTGAGTTTATATGGCCTTATTCTACAGAGTAGATACGCGGAGATACATATCTACCCTTGTGCTTATGGCGTAGGTTATTGCATAAGCAAGCTAGAGTGACACTGGTATGACGTCATTTTGTTTCGTCGTGTGGACATCATAGAGATTATAAATAACATGTTATTACAGTTAATAACATGTGTTATTTATAATCTCTATGGTGGACATCGATTATCGGATAAAAACATGAAAATGTGACACACGCTAGAAAATTTGTAGCTAAAAGGTTTTCCCTTTGCATTTAAGCCCCATTTTTGCTGTAATTGTGTTTTCTATCGAATATAAAACTCATTCAGTTGGAGTATAAAGGTCTATAAAATGCGAGGAATGTAACGAATGTTGAATGAAAAAAGCGGGAAAAATAATTCATGCTCTGGTGACTGTTGCTGTGGTAGCACGTGCGTCGCGCATGTTTATTACGTGATAAGTGAATGTGACCCAGTGAGCTCACTCGCCACAGGCAGCACTCTTGAATAAGCTGCAGTATAAAATTAAAAGCTCCACAGAACACGAAACAGTGCCTGGTACTGCCTAAAAGACGACCAGATATCTAGTACTTAATATAATTATTTTTTTGTATAAAGTCTTATAACGTTTTATTTTTACGGGCGATTCGAAAGCGTACAAAAATGCCAACGAACACGCGAAAATATTTAGACACGCTCACGAAGGATCAACTGAAGGAAATTTGGAGGACGGCTGACGCTGTTTGCTTTGATGTGGACAGCACGATAGTTCAAGAAGAAGGTATTGATGAATTGGCAGAGTTTTGTGGAGTTGGCGAAGCCGTTAAACAGTGGTAAGGCAAGATGTGCAGGGTCTGTAAATTACATGATGAATTGGCCATTGATCATTGATGAGCAATGAGCATGAAGTCCTATCAAAATAAATTACCTGTTCATAATATTTATCGTTTAAAAACTTCCTCCTAGACTTATTGGTTTGAATAAAGCTTGATAAAATTTAAGATAGCAGTTCTTTTTCACACCTTTAGGAAGGTTAACCTTATATTTTTAAAGTTTAGCTATATAAAAATTGTAGTATTCCATCGTGTTTACATATATTCAAGCGTCATGCTGATAAGTTGATAATATTTATGAGATAAACCATTCAATATTTCTGCCCTTTGACCGAAATATGATACGATAAACGTGACTTGTAAGAGACCACCCAATAAGTGGGTTTAATATTATAAATCTCCTCGTAAAATTTGAGGATATATTATATATATGGTTTAGTATAGTATGCATCAATGGCACTTAATTTCTGGGTTGTGGGCAGGGTCACTTGAAAAGCAATATATAAGTGGCATGATTTGTGATTAGAACAAGGCATTCTTTTTGTCAGCTTGATAGTTAAATAGTTGCTCAGTAACTGCACGTCAGTGCTGATAATGTGTTGACGCACTGACTTTTTTTCTACTAAACAGGACATGATTTAATTTACCGAGGCTAGCAATTAATGTTGGTAGCCTACTAGTCTACCATATACGTGAGGCCCTGTGTGGATAAATTCTGTCAACATTCCTTGAAGTGGCGACATATAGAAACTAGGACAGCAACACTTGACCTAAGCCTAAATTGTGACAGCGACATGAAAAGATTGGAAACAACAATGAAATTTGGAACTTCTGAACAATTACTTTTAAAAATTAAATGAATGACGTACCCTCCCTAAGAGAGCCCTATACATCCTTGACCCATTAAAGCCACATTTCTTCCTAATGTAGCTTTTTTAATGCAAGATGATATTAGTTGTCATCAAGGGGAGATTGCTGCCACTCAATTGGTTAATGAGTTGTTCTAGAAAAGATCAATACTCCTCTACAGAGGAAATTTCTGAGGGGAAAAAATCTACTTCCAATAATAGTAAAATGTACTATAATCTTTCAAGGGAGCAATACTTTCCACTTCCACAAAGTCTGGTTTTCGTATTTGTTGTAACTGTCATAAAGATAGAGTTATGATCTTTCTCAACAGCCAGATTATAATACTTTCTACCTGTAAACCACATATAAATCACAAATATTTGCTATAATTTTATAATATAATCACTCTGCCTATTATCAGTGTTTTAAAACTGCTGTTTTTTCAGCTGTTGAGAAAGATTGTGACTCAATCTTACAACCATATATATGGAAACCTGCAAACTTAAGGGAGCTACAGACAGAGTATACATATTTCCTGGAATGATTCATTCCATACCCAATACCAAAATATTTAAAGATGATGTCTGCACATCAGTTCTGCTCATAAAGGGGGACCCCGAGATATAAACATTGCCCAAATTTTGCATCTTTGAAACGTAGAGTTTATATTCATTTACAAGTATAGCGAACCAGAAATGTGTTAATATATCATATTTTACAAATATAGCAGTTCAAAACGTAAACAAAGTTCGCGCACATGTGCACAGGAGCAGGTTAAGGTTAATTTAAGGTGGTTTACCGCCACGAGACAATATTCATTGATTTTCTATCTTGAATATTTTCACTTGATATGACAGGACAATTCAAGCCATGGGAGGAAACATAAGATTTAGAACAGCACTTGAAACAAGACTAAACATGTGTAATCTAACTCTAGAACAGGTGGGTACTCCATAAATAGCTATGATTTACTTCTTGCCATTCTCTTTATAGTACTCTAGTAACTCTACTGAAAATGATTTCAGAAATTTGCTGTATTATCTTATATTTAATGATGTTGATCTATTATATTTAGCTGGAACGATATAAGAAAGAAAAGCCGCTAACGTTAACAGCTGGAATAAAGTAAGTGGGGGCAATGTATATAATGCATCTTTGCCATAACTTGAAAAATCTGCACTAATGTGAGAAATATTCCAAAATCTGCATGCCTAATCAATGTTATATAGTTAGCCACTAACCCTTACCCCTTGCAACCCCCCTCACCCCCTAGTGTCTGCACCTGTTGTTATATGGTGTGTGGTAACATCAATTTGGCACATAGATTTGTTAAAGTTGCTTGTCTTGATTTATACCATCATGTCTAACTGACTAACTGTTTCACTGTATCTTTTACAGGGAGTTAATTGGACATTTACATTCTGAGAAGATTCCAGTATTTTTAATCAGTGGAGGTTTTCGACAGTTAAACGTGCCTCTAGCGCACAGGTTGAACATTCCTTCGGAAAACGTGTTTTCTGTGGAGCTTTTATTTGATAGTGATGGTAAGGAAAGATTTATTGACACAATACATTGTTGTTTGAGGGATAGACATTGTACTGAGTATTCTTTTGTTTGAAGGTCGATACCATGGGTTCAATAAGAATAATCCAACATCCGATTCTGGTGGAAAAACTAAAGTAGTTCATCGTCTCAAGGACAAATATGGTTTTAAAAGGTACAGTTGAACACCTTTAGAGATGCAACCTGTCTGATTCTGATCGGCTGAATCTGAGTAACCAATTGGCACACTGGCTGACTGCCTGTCTGGGTAACTAACTAATTTATTGTCCAGCTTGTTAATAGATAGTTAATTGTTAAAGCATTTCATTTAGATTGATTATGATTGGCGATGGTGCCACAGATATGGAGACCTGTCCACCAGCAGTAAGTTTTTGTTGGATACATTATTGCTTGAGTGACTTTATTTATACTAGTCATCACAGTTGTATCAGTTCTAAACTGTTCTCCATCATCCCTTGTTAGTCTAGTGTTACTAAATGTACAAGAGGAAACCTAAGCTGAACTTACTTTATTTTAACTGGATAGCTTTATCAGTTCCAAACTGTTCTCCCTAGAGGTCCAGTAAGGATCATCTCTTATTGATCCAGTGTTACTACAGGAGGGAGCCTAAACTAAACTAACTTTATACTGGATAGCTCTATCAGTCCTAAACTAAACTAACTTTATACTGGATAGCTCTATCAGTTTTAAGCTGTTCCAGTAAGGGTAATCTCTTATTGATCCAGTTTTTACCTAAAAGAAGGAAACCTAAACTATGCTGGATAAGCTCTGTCAGTTCTAAATTGTTCCATTAAGAGTCATCTCAGGACATCTCTTATTGCTACAGTGTTACTAGAGAAGGAAACAAGGGATGTTTCTGTCAGAAACACTGATTCTTTGAGTCAATTTAAGTCTTTACTAAGGTCACATACCATATAACTATTCTTAGTTGTACTTACTAGATACAGTTAATTATTTGTTTCTTTATGTCGTGACGTTGTATATTAATTGTATATATTTATATAAGTAAATTTTGTTAATGATTGTATCATGCAGGACCCCACTGAAAAACACATTAGTGATGTGGGTATCCTGGATAAATATAATTATAAATAAATAAATAAAAAACTGGACTACCTGGAGAAAATCTGTGGTAACTGGAAGCATTCTCCATGCAACTGAACCACAACTGCATACTGCAGGAACTGAACCTGACAGACTCTCACAATGAAACAATAACACATGAAGTAACAATAGTAACAATAACACGTGTGCGACCAACATCCTGAACAAATTTTTTTATTCTCTTATCTAAGGATGGATTTATTGGATTTGGCGGCAATGTTATACGAGATAAAGTGAGGGAACACTCACCATGGTTTGTGACCAGCTTTCAGGAGCTTCTAGATGAACTTAAAGTCTCGAATTGAACATTTTATAAGGTCAGAGTTTACTGAAAATTTTCTTAGCCATATTTCTGTCAAGAGTGTTGTAGGTGTTGTTTGTGGGTTTTGAATTTTAATGTGTTGGTTGGCTGTTACAGATTAATTTAATATGAGAGGGATAATGTTGTACAAGGAGAAAAGATGCCTTTATAAAGATATTTTATAAAGTATGTCTCGTATGTGGAAAATGATACTATATCTTATGTACAGTATAGTTATTTATTAGTTTGAGAATTTAATTCAATAGTTTTATCGAATTGAGAATTATATACATTGTACAGTAGTTTGCATTAGAAATTTAACATATGTTGTACTGGAAGACTATTGAAGTCTGAGTATTAAATGTATTGTGAAACTATGTAAAGCGTTATAGCCTGGTATTTTATGGAACTGGAAAAACACTCACTATATTTATTAAGTGCATCATCATACATGTATGTCATATTAATTTATTTAGTATACATTACTGAAAGCCCATTTTTCAAAAGCATATACTAACATTGTATATATATTACAGTATAAATAGCATTGTATCTACAATATAGCCATGCCCTAGCCAAGTTCATGACCAATTGAAAGTTCTCATACTAAACTAGTGATAGATTGTCCTTGCCTAAGACAGTTATACTATTACTGTATTACAGCTTACAAGTTTTGCCAAGCCATATGTCCATATAACATGAATTTAGTAATGTGTATAATATCCTTAGCGGATCATTTCACAGTTTATACGTAAACACATGGTGTAGCACGTGCTCTTGTGCCATTCATGGCTGGCAGTTTTCGCCAAGTAGTATCACCAATCACGTAGTACTCTACTGTTTTAAGTTGTGTGATGGAGGAATATCTACGATACCTGGCATCGTGATATTCAGTCGTAATCTCACCTCCCATAACCACGATAACATCACCCATGATCACAGCGGTACAGTTGCTTCTCTTCTCAAGCATGGAGGGTAAACGTTTGCACTCCAGACTGTGGATGTTGTACATCAATACATCATTCAACGGATCCCAGTCGGAATCACTGTTATTCTGACCACCAAGGATAATTATATTATCTTTGTAAGCGACAGTCGCCATGTTATAGACTGTATAGGGCAAAGTAGTGAGAGTTGTCATCTCGTTACTGGCTATATCATATCGCTCTATTTGATTTCCTGAAAACCCAATGACAAAGATTTCGTTACCGAAACATTCCAGAGCACATTTACTACGATCGCGGTTTCTGTCGCCATAAATCCCATCATTGAGCTTTTCAATAAGTACAGTTGATTTCCACGGGCGCTCGAGCGATGTTTCTTGCACTTGACGACCGAAGGTAATAATTCGATTTTCAAACAGAACGCCATTACGATCGCCATCTGGTAAACTACCTGGAAAAACATTCGAGGTAAAACCATTCTCACTTGGATCCAAGAACTCGATTCGATTTGAATCACCACCGCAAACCATTATTCTCTTCCCGTAAAGAAACGAAAATGATTTGCTATACAGCGAGAAAAACAAACAGTCTTCAATCAAAGTCCACGCTTTAGTAGACCAGTTGAAAACTTCAAGAGATTGGTCATGGAAAATTAAGATTTGCCCCTTGATGACTCGACTACCGAACTGAATGGTCGCAGAGCTGAAATGACGTAGAGGATTCTGTAGGTCTTTAATGCTTTGGTCGTGGGTTTTCAGCTTTTTCGTCGTTTCACCTTGAGTGAGAACAAGTTTTTTCAACGATTTGGTTACTTCATCCAAACGTGACTTAACTTCGTTGATCTCTTTTCGTAACGTACACTGGTGTTTTTCATAATCAACATACACCAACTCTTCATCACACGATTCGCAGGTTATCTTTCTAAACTTGCACTTTTGCGTCTCGTGGCTTTCTTTATCACGTCTGTTCACCGTCTCTTTGCAGCCTTCGTTCGAGCAAACAACCGGAGCATGACCACACGTCTGTTCATGTAACAACAACTCTTCAACTTGAACATTCTCCTCACAACCTCGAGAAACATGACTGCAACGTGGTTTCTTCAACTGGGCAACGATACCGAGAATAATACGAGACGGTGGTCGCAGCGTTTCAAGCGTCAGTTGCTCCATACAAAGTGGACATGTTTCGGAGTTTCCCAGATGCTTCGTGACACACTTCCGACAAAAATAATGCTCGTTGTTTTGACATTGAACTGGGTCATGCAAAACCTCTAAGCATATTTTGCAGGAGAAATTATCCATGAAGGAAGAACTGAGATCGTTGTTGTTTTCAGCCATGATGGCATATTTGCGAATGAACGAGGAAGCACGCTTCACTGCTTGATATAGGGTTTGCCACGGAGTTTGCTGGATTCGGAGCTATTGATTGGCTAAAGTATTGTCTATGATTTGACGACCTCATCATGTAACCTAGGTTACATATCATAGGGTGTGATCTAAGAAACTCCACACCCGCGAACAGGCTGGGTAGAAGGCAACACAAGCAGTATGAGATTATATGATCATACAAGATGTATAAATGTTTCAAATCCAAAAATGGGACTGGACATTTAGCTAACTGCGAGGACTCGAAATTCCGTCCAGTTCAAATACGCATAAGTATTTCCATCCGCATCTGTCAGCACCATAACTTAAAAAAATATCAAATATATTGATACAAAAATTCGTGAGACTAATGGTCATTGCCGAAGAACAAATTGATTAAATTTTGGTTACATTTGGATGGAAATTGAATGCGAAATTAGCAAAAAAAATTGTGCTTTGCCGGGTAAACAGAATGCGTAATTAGCCCATTGTATAATTTATGATATACATAACTTATAATAGTTTTGTTTGTGGAAACACCACGTAAATTGATTTTATAAATTTACGTGGTGTTTCCACAAACAAAACTATTATATGTTTTATCGCCATGAAAACGTGCAAAGAACTTAATACATAACTTAATTCGCTACCGGAAATAGTATCTCCAAGTGCCCTTTAATTACTTAAGGAGGCTCCCTACAGTAGTATGCATGCATATGCACCTGGGACTACTTCCACGCAACAGCAGGATCAAAACAAAAATTGACTGGGCTTTCCTAAGTTTCTTTTAAAAAAAAGCTATTTCCGAAAGATTTATAATGAAAAAAGCGTTGAATAATCCTTCGTTTTGGGAATCGATACAGCAATTTTACATATGATACGAATATACCTAGACCAAAAAACTAGGCACGAAGCAATGTTTTTTTGGTTTTTTTTAAATTCACTGTCCACTGTAAAACATTTGTTAAATTGTATACACAAACTTTTAATACACATTTATAAAGTCGTTTAGAAATACTTTCGTGTTTCTACAAGATAAAAGTGATTATTCCACAGAAAAAAAAAACACGTTTCATAGCAAAACGTCTTCTTCATTTTTGGCAATGCGCTCTAAACTTTCATCCAGCAAGCTAGACAACCTATAGGTTCACTGTGTTCTGCATGTTCATTCATTCTTAAACTCAAGTAGAAGGGTTAATTTATACACTCTAGATATGATATAACGTAATGTCTACACAGCCAAATCATGCTTCTTATAACCACAAGCAGAAACATTTGTATCTAAAAGTTAAAGCAAGTCTAATATAGCAGAATAACACAGTTATCACATGATGAAGTCTGGCTGCAAACTATAGGTTAATTCTCTGTCTTCCAACCGTTCATTGATAAACGAGGGCCGTAGCATAAGCTTTTGCCACATTCATTTCTGGCAGTTCATGCCAGGCATCTTCTCCGATCACAAAACGCTCGACACTTCTCAACTGGGCAGTCATACAGTTCTTTCTGTTTCGTCGACCACCGCCCATAACCACGATCGTATCACCCATAATCACTGCAGCGCAACCAGCCCTCTTCTCTAACATAGAAGGCAACTTCTTGTACTTCTGAGTCGTGATATTGAACATCGTAACATCATCCAGTGGTCGTCTGCCGTCATCTTCACCGCCTATGATAATTATGTTATCTTCATACACAACACAAGCCATTCTTGTTACTTTATACGGCACGGGAGAGAGACGTTTCATTTCGTTCTCAGCCACATCATAATGTTCCATTCTACCAGGTTGGCCACCGATAATATAGATGCTGTTGCCAAGGCTGACCACAGAACAGACAAGTCGTGTATAAGACTCGTGGAGTAGCGTTCTCGATTTGTACGGGGGCTCGAGTTTCGTTTCAACCACATCGCGATGGAAAGTGATGACTCGGTTTCCACACTTTACTCCGTTGTATTCATTGCATAAATAACTATTTGCTGGGCTGGCGAAAAGAGTCGACGTGAAACCGGTTTCACTTGGGCAAAGGCATTCGATTTCAAGTGTCCTTTGTTGCCCACCGTAAATCATTATTTTCTTGCCTTCCAGAAACACAATCGAACAACAACGTGGTGTTAATAAACATCCTTCATAGAGAGTCCACGTCATTGTAGACCAGTCGAAAGCTTCCAGAGATCTTGATGAAGATTTTGCAGCCCCATAATAGATATTACTGTTGCCAATGATAAAAATTTGCCCCTTTGTCGTAGGAGGGCTTGTGCTTTTTTGTGGGACCGTAGTAGAGCGGAGATCAGGCACTGATTCTTCCTCGGATTCTTCAGACACTTCGACAAAATCCTCGCAGGCTTCCAGCTTTGCTTGTAGGGTCGCTTGAGTACCACTGATTTGTTCTAAAATCCTGGTTACTCTTTCCAAACGCGTTTTCATTTTATCCATTTCGATTTTTAAAGTGCACAGATGCTTTTCATAAAGGCCGTAACTCATCTCTTCATCACAGGATTCGCAAGTTATCTTTCTAAACTTGCATTCTTCCGTCTCGTGGCTTTCTTTATCACGTCTGTTCACCGTCTCTTTGCAGCCTTCGTTCGAGCAAACAACCGGAGCATAACCACACGTCTGTTCATGTAACAACAACTCTTCAACTTGAACATTCTCCTCACAACCTCGAGAAACATGACTGCAACGTGGTTTCTTCAACTGGGTTACAACACTTGCAACAATACGAGACGGTGGTCGCAGCGTTTCGAGCGTCAGTTGGTCCATACAAAGTGGACATGTTTCAGAGTTTCCCAGACGCTTCGTGATACATCCCCGACAAAAATAATCCTCGTTGTTCTCACATTGAACTGGGTCGTAGAGAATCTGTGAGCAAATTTTACACGCGAAATTGGCCACGAGTAAAGCTTCTAGATCTGTTTGGTTCGCTGCCATCCTAGAAATTGATTCTAGAACATTGCGGAAATATCACAGTCATTCACAGACGGTTTTAAATGTCATTGAATATTGTATGAGGTGAAATGCGATATTGGCAATAAGTACTGCTTAATTAACGCGCTCATTGTTGCTCTAATGCAGTATGAAAGCTGAAATAAAGACAGTTTTATAAATTTTGTGAAAAAGGTTTTTAACCTACCAAAAATTGGAGTGTAAACGCTGTGTATTTTTATTAAATAATTCTCATGCAATTTTTACGTCCGTGAGAGTTTTACGTGCGCATGCAAATATTTGAGTGCTACTGAAACAGAACAAAGCACGATACTGATCAAATATTACTTTCCTCCGATCTTTGTTGCCTAGATATAACTGCTCGATCGAAAGATGCAATTTCTAAACACTGTCGTGTTACTTTACGGGTTCAAGAAAAATTTTAATATTGTCACTATTGATTTCCGTGCCATTGTAGAACACATAGAAACGACTGAGATCTACACTGTAAATTTCAGGGAGTTAATTTAACTCCAGTGGTATTATTCTGAACCTAATTTTACTCCACATTTGGAGTTAATTGAGGTACAGTTATCTCCACCGGAGTTAAGTTAACTCCCTGAAATTAACAGCTAGTGTATTAAACACTGACATTTTTGTTTTCATTTCAATACAACACAACTACATAACCTATTTTACCCGGAAATTTTTCAAGAAATTTCATAATTTACAATACACAATTAGTTCATTTTTAGCATTCGTTAAATTCTAAGGAGATTATGAGATTGATTAGTTCGTGTTTAAAGTATAGAGCTAGTTAAGAGATATTTTCGCATTAAATATACAGTTCTGAGAAAATATTTATTTATTTATTAAACTTCGGCCGTTAACACGAATATAAACAAGGAAAATACAAACAGAAAAACGGCTCAGGAACACTAACACACCTGTTACAGAACAAATACAACACAACAAAACAAAACAAAACACAAGTACAAACATGAAACAACATTGTAACATACGAGAAACTAACTAATCTTAAAACTACATACACTCTTCGTGGGATAACATATTTTTGTACTTATAGTTAGGAGGGCCGCTGGTTTATCAGTTTCTCTGTCATGCGTTTACCCTCATTAATAAAGTTGATTGATTGATTGATTATATGCCAGCAAATTTAACTATTTTATTTTTTAATACAAGATTTGCCACACACACAAACATAAATACCACTAAACCATTACACAATATTACATATTTTACATACAGAACAGGCAGAGACTGACCGCAGAGATAATCTCCAATAACGGGGTTCTGAACAAATACTAACAATACATTTACATAACTATTGGCTTTGGCTAACTATCAGCAACATGTTCTTAAAGATAAACTCAGGAGAGGACGAGTGGAGTGGCATTTAGCGCACATTGACTTGAATGTTCTTGGATTGTCCGGGTTGTAAATATGTTCTAGAAGGTCGAAATAGTAGTTAAATAATGAGGATTTGAAGTGAACTAAAGTTCTTGAGATATCACGTATGTGGGCAGGAAGAATGTTCCAAAGGCTATAGGAGCTTTCACATAGAAGCTGTTCTGGTAACTAACAGTCCTGCATTTTGATTGATTTAGTAAATACTATACTATATCAGATATAGCAACATTTCTTCATGCTAGTAATAATAGTAGTAATGTTTGTGCATATGTACTCAGGTTCAGTTCACACATACACACAGGCTGTGGCACCATGTCGAGCTAGATTCATGGCTGGCAATTTTTGCCACGCACTGTCACCAATCACATAATACTCCACTGTTTTTAGTGCATCGTCATCCACACCGCCCATAACGACTATTGTATTTCCCATGATCACAGCTGCACAGTGATATCTCTTTTCTAACAAGGATGGCAATTTCGTGTATTCCTGGTTGGTCACATTAAACATCACAACATCATCCAGTGACTTTTCATCATCATAACCGCCTATGAGAATTATGTTATCTTTGTAAGCCACAGTCGCCATGTCTGACACTGTATACGGCAAAAAAGGCAGAGTTTTTATCTCGTTCTTAAGCACATCATATTTCTCCATGGAACTCTCTATCCCTCCAACAATATAAATATTGTTACCAAAGCAATGCACTCTGGCAGAAAGGTTACGATCTTGCTTCTCTTTCAAGAGTGTTCTTGATTCTCCCGGTGAATCAAGCGAGGTTTCTACTACACTTTCGTGGAACGTGAGAATTCGATCTTTATGGAGTAAGCCAGCGCATTTAGCATTTCTGAGCAGCGAAACTGTTGCTACGGTTGCATTTTGCCCACTCTCGCTTGGATTCAAGTATTCAATCCGCTCTGTGCAATAACCGCCACAAACCATTATTTTCTTCCCGTAAAGGAACGAAAATGAGCACCACCGTTGGAAAAATAAACAATTTTTAATCAAAGTCCACGTCTTTGTTGACCAGTTAAAAATCTCGACAGATTTACCAATTTCATCGTTGTCTCCGCCGCCAAAAATAAAAATTTTTCCGTTGACGGCGACGTTTGTTTCTCCACAAATGGTGGTAGAGTTTTTGGTGGGACGTGCTTGTCGATTTGACTGCTTCTTAGAATGAACGCGTTCTGCACTGGTTGCGAGCTTTACTTTATGTTTGGTCCTGGTAGCAACACTTTGTTTTAAAAACTCGGGTTTTGCATCAAAACGTAATTTAATTTCATCTATCTCTTTCCTCAATCTTAAACTGCATTGATGTTTCTTATAATACTCAACGTACACCAACTCTTTATCACACGATTCGCAAGTTATCTTTCGAAACTTGCATTCTTCCATCTCGTGGCTTTCTTTATCACGTCTGTTCACCGTCTCTTTGCAGCCTTTGTTCGAGCAAACAACCGGAGCATAACCACACGTCTGTTCATGTAACATCAACTCTTCAATCGTACCATTCTCCTCACAACCTCGAGAAACATGACTGCAACGTGGTTTCTTCAACTGAGATACAACACTGGCAACAATTCTTGACGGTGGTCGCAGCGTTTCGAGCGTCAGTTGCTCCATACAAAGTGGACATGTTTCAGAGTTTCCCAGATGCTTCGTGACACACTTCCGACAAAAATAATGCTCGTTGTTTTGACATTGAACTGGGTCATGTAAAACCTCCAAGCATATTTTACAGGAAAAATCTTCACCGAGTAATAGTGCTTCCTGATTTATATTGTTCCTAGCCGTATTTCCATGGCCTAGAAATGAATATATTTGGCCCATACTATTCTATTTCCTGAACCCAAGCTTGACCAGACAGCCACATGCAAGTTGTGATAGGGCCAACTTGCACCCTGATATAAATTAAAAGTCATCAGTTGGGATTACCGATATTGTTTGTGACCTTCTGACCTCCAAGTGCTAGGTGTGCCAATTTGATTGGTTGAATAATTAACGTTGTTTGACCAGACTTGACTCACTTCCGTTTCTGCAGCCACAGCGGGTCACGTCTTCTGAGTAAATGTGTTCAGACATTGTGGGCACAGCTGTGGGACTGGCGTTTTGTATAAAGGCTGGCTTGCACTATCAAAGTTTCTGTGACCACAGTAGGAATTTTACATCAATAAATGAAGAATGTGTAAGAAATATTTGACATCCTTCAGAATGATTACTTACGACTATGAAACCAGATTACCTGGAGAAAAGTGGTGGTAACTGGAAGCATTCTCCAGGCAACTGAGCCAGAACTACATACTGCAGGAATACTCAGACCCTCACAATGAAACACAGACACTTGAAGTAATGACTGTGCAACCAACATCCTGAACAATTTTTTTTTCGTATCTATAAGGATGGATTTATTGGATTTGACGGCAATGTTATACGAGATAAAGTGAGGGAACATTCGCCGTGGTTTGTGACCAGCTTTCAGGAGCTTCTATAGATGAACTTAAAGTCTCAAATTGAACATTTTATATTAAAGGTCAGAGTTTATTGAAGATTTTCTTAGCCATATTTCTGTCAAGAGTGTTGTAGGTGTTGTTTGTGGGTTTTGAATTTTAATGTGTTGGTGGGCTGTTACAGATTAATTTAATATGAGAGGGATAATGCTGTTCAAGGAGAAAAGATGCCTTTATAAAGATATTTCCTTTATAAAGATATTTTATAAAGTATGTCTCGTATGTGGAAAATGATACTATATCTTATGTACAGTATAGTTATTTATTAGTTTGAGAATTGAATTCAATAATTTTATCAAATTGAGAATTACATACATTGTACAGTACAGGGGCAGGTTGTACGAAGGCCGGATAGCGCTATTCACCGGATAGTGATTTTTTCAAGCTTTGTTGAATCAGTCGTTGATTGGTATAACTCGTATTAAAGTTTAGTATTTATAAGTTAAATGTTTTTTATACTTCTTGTGTCGTCTATATCCGTAGTTTCACAGTTTTTCAAGCATTTTACAAAGGTTGAAAAAATCACCGTCCGGTGGATAGCGCTATCGCTGCTTCGTACAACCGGCCCCTGTAGTTTGCATTAGATTGAAATTAATGTTTAACATATGTTGTACTTGAAGGCTATTGAAGTCTGAGTATTAAATGTGTTGTGAAACTATGTAAAGGAATATAATGGCCAGGTGTTTTATGGAACTGGAAAAACACTTACTTATATATCTATTAAGTGCATCATCGTTTGTCATCATATTATTTTATTTAGTTGTTCATTAGTCTATTTTTTCCAAAACATATACTAGTATGCTGTATTATATTTACATCCGGTGTTGTACATAATGTAGCATTGTATCTACATAGTATCATGAGTGATTACTGTAGCTGAATGTTTTCATATTTAACGAGCTGTAGGTTGTCCTTGCCTTTAGATTACAGCTATATACATCATGAATGTACAATATTGTTGTCAGCGAATTTTATTCATAAACACATGCTGTAGCCTTTGCTCTTGCTTGATTCATGGCTGGCAGTTCTCGCCAAGTTGTATCACCAATCACATAATACTCTACTGTTTTAAGAGGTTGGGTGGTATAATTCGTACCTTTAGCCTCGCCGCCCATAACCACGATCACGTCACCCAGGATCACAGCAGCACAGCCACTTCTCCTCTCAAGCATGGAGGGTAAACGTTTACACTCCAGACTGTGGATGTTGTACATCAATACATCATTCAACGGACGGCAATAATGATCATCCTGGTGACTCGAACCACCAAGGATAATTATATTATCTTTATAAGCGACAGTCGCCATGTTATACACTGTATAGGGCAAAGTAGTGAGGGTTGTCAGCTCATTACTGGCTATATCATATCGCTCTATTCGATTTCCTGAAAACCCAATGACAAAGATAGTGTTACCGAAACATCCCAGAGCACATTTACTACGATTGTTGTGTGCGGTGTGCCCATAAGACCCATAATATTGTGCGGGCCCTTGAATGAGTACAGTTGATTCCCATGGGCGCTCGAGCGATGTTTCTTGTACGTGGAAACCAAAAGTAATAATTCGATTTTTAAACAGAACGCCATTAAGATCGCCAGAAGGTAAACTAGCTGGAAAAAGATTGGAGGTAAAACCATTCTCACTTGGATCCAAGAACTCAATCCGACCGTTGCAAAGCATTATTCTCTTCTCGTAAAGAAACGAAAACGATTTGCTATGCGAGAAAAACAAACAGTTTTCAATCAAAGTCCACGCTTTAGTTGACCAGTTGAAAACTTCGAGAGATTTGCCACTGAAAATAAAAATTTGTCCCTTGATATTAACTGCGCTATCTCGCTGAATGGTCGCAGAGCTGAAGTGGCGTAGAGGATTCTGTAGGTCTTTAATGCTTTGGTCGTGGGCTTTCTGCTTTTCCAGCATTTCACTTTGAGTGAGAACAACTTTGTTCAGTGCATCGCTCATTTCATCCAAACGTGACTTAACTTCGTTCATCTCTTTTCTCAACGTACACTGGTGTTTTTCAAAATCAACGTACACCAACTCTTCATCACACGATTCGCAAGTTATCTTTCGAAACTTGCATTCTTCCGTCTCGTGGCTTTCTTTATCGCGTCTGTTCACCGTCTCTTTGCAGCCTTCGTTCGAGCAAACAACCGGAGCATAACCACACGTCTGTTCGTGTAACAACAACTCTTCAACTTGAACATTCTCCTCACAACCTCGAGAAACATGACTGCAACGTGGTTTCTTCAACTGGGATACAACACTGGCAACAATTCGAGACGGTGGTCGCAGCGTTTCGAGCGTCAGTTGCTCCATACAAAGTGGGCATGTTTCGGAGTTTCCCAGATGCCCCGTGATGCATCCCCGACAAAAATGATGCTCGTTGTTTTGACATTGAACAGGGTCATGTAAAATCTTCAAGCATATTTTGCAGGAGAAATTGTGGATGAACGAAGAACCGAGGTCGTTGTTGTTTTCAGCCATGGTGGCATTGTGAATGAGTGGGGAATTACGCTTCACTGCTTGATATGGAGTTTGTCACATAACTTACTAAATTCAAAGCTATTGGTTGGCTTAAGTATTGTCTCGAGTCCGGATTTTCTCCGAGTCCGGTCCGGGTTTCGAAGTATGCCATCATCCAAGTCATTCCATATTTTAACACCCCGGTAATTAAATGTTCTTTGACCTGCAGCAGATTTATACAGAGGGATGTCCAAGAGGTCATGATTTCTTGTCGATCGATCATGTATGTCGGAACGCTTTATAAATTTATCTACTAGGTAGTCCGGTGCAAGTCCATTAAAACACTTGTAAGCCATTACAATATCCCTTTCCAATAATAACTTTTCCACTGGCAACCAATTTAGTTCGCGCAACACCGGAGTTATGTGAAACCTCGCACCCGCGAACAGGCTGGGTAGAAGGGAACACAACCAGTGTGACATTATATGGTCATACAAGATGTAATGTTTCAAATCCGAAAATCAGGACTGGACATTCAGCTAACTGCGAGAACTCGAAATCCCGTCCAGTTCTTTGTATGTCTGTGTTTGTCAGTACGATAACTTAAAAGAATATCAAATATATTAATACGAAACTTTGTGAATGCGAAATTAGCAAAAGATTTGTTTGTTTTTGTGGGCAGAGTAAGCAGAATGCGTAATTAGCCCATTGTATAGTTTATGATACATAACTTGATTCGCTACCGGAATTATCTCCAAGTGCCCTTATTAAGGAGGCTCCTTACAGTAGCATGCGGGATGCACGTGGGATTACACTTCTCAAATGGGCAATCATACAGTTCCTTCTGTTTCGTCGACCACCGCCCATAACCACGATCGTATCACCCATGATCACTGCAGCGCAACCAACCCTCTTCTCTGACATAAAAAATTGTCCTTTCATCGTAGGAGGGCTTGTGTTTTGTTGTGGGACCATAGTAGAGCTGAGATCAGGCATCGATTCTTCTTCGGATTCTTCAGACACTTTGACAAATTCCTCGCAGGCTTCCAGCTTTGCTTGTAAGGTCGCTTGAGTACCACTAAATCTAAAATCCTGGTTACTCTTTCCAAACTATTTTTAAAGTGCACAGATGCGATCCCCAACAAAAATAATGCTCATTGTTCTTACATTGAACTGGGTCGTAGAGAATTTGTGAGCAAATTTTACACGTGAAATTGGCCACGAGTAAAACTTCTAAATTAGTTTTGTTCACTGCCATCCTAGAAATCGATTAGATTCTAGAACATTACGCAAATATCACAGACGGTTTTAAAGATGCGGTAAAGTCCGTTCTGCGCATATATGCTGCGCATCAACACATTCCATCAGTGGGGGAGCAACCTTTGGAATGTTGTTAATATTTCGCACCTTCCGAACTTTCTTGAATTGAATCTCTAGTCTGCATTCATTTACAAGCATAGCGAACCAGAAGAGTGTTAAAAATTCAGTATAATATATACCTAATCATATTTTACAACTGTAGCACTGAGTTCAAAATGTAAACAAAGCGTTTGTTTACATTACGGACTTTACATCACCTTTAAATGTCATTGAATATTGTATGAGGTGAAATACGATATTGGCAATAAGTACGACATAATTATTAACGCGCTCATTGTTGCTCTAATGCAGTCTGAAAGCTGAAATAAAGACAGTTTTATAAATTTTGTGAAATTGTTTTTTAACCTACCAAAAATTGGATTGTAAGCGCTGTGTATTTTTATTAAATATTCTCATGCAATTTTTACGTCCGTGAGATCTTTACGTGCGTATGCAAATATTTGAATGCTACCATAGACAATCCAGAAGACAGGGATTTGTCTTCTGGATTGTCTATGGTGCTACAAACAGAACAAAGCACGATACAGCTCAAATATTACTCACCTCCGATCTCTGTTGCCTATATGTAGCATCTTGATCAAAAGATGCAATTTCTAAACGTTGTCGTGTTACTTTATACGGGTTCAAAAAGAATTTTGATATTGTTATTATTGATTCCTGTGCCATTGTCAAACACATAGAAACGATTAAGTCTAAGATGTATTTCATCTATATTTAATATTCGGGTGACCATCAAACTTATTAATACAACACAACTAGATAACCTATTTCACCAGGAAATTTTTCAAGAAATTTCATTATCCCTATAATTTATAATATACAATTAGTTCAATTTTAGCATTCGTTCATTTCTAAGTAGACTATGATATTAATTACTTCGTCGGTGCAAACTGGAGCTAATTAAAAGATATTTTCGCATTAAATATACAGTTGACAGTTCTGAGAAAATATTTATTTATTTATTTATTTATTAAACTTCAGCCGTTTACACGGACATGCATAAACAAGGAAGTTTACACGAACATGCTGAAAAGCAGCATTTCTTCATGCTAGTAATAATGAACTAAATGCAAGTAAATTTAACTATATAGTCTGCTAAAAAGCAACATTTCTTCATGCTTGTAATAATAGTTGTAATATCTGTGCATATGTACTCATTGTTCAGTTAATACATATACACACAAGCAGTGGCATAAGATCGACCTAGATTCATGGCTGGCAATTTTTGCCACGCACTGTCACCAATCACATAATACTCCACTGTTTTTAAAACCATCATGTGATCCATCCAATCAGATTCGTTATCTTTCTTCATACCGCCCATAACGACAATCATGTCTCCTATGATCACAGCTGCGCAACCATATCTCGTTTCTAACAAGGACGGCAATTTCTTGTACTCCTGGTTGGTCACATTAAACATGACAACATCATCCAGTGCCTTTTCTCCATGGAGACCACCGAGGATAATGATGTTATCCTTGTACGCGACAGTCGCCATGCCTGACACTGTATACGGCAAAGAAGGCAGAGTTTTTATCTCGTTCTTAACCACATCATATTTCTCCATGGAACTCTCTATCCCTCCAACAATATAAATATTGTTACCAAAGCAATGCACTCCTGCAGAAATATTACGATCTTGCTTCTCTGCCAAGAGTGTTCTTGATTCTCCAGGTGAATCAAGCGAGGTTTCTACTACACTTTTTTTGTGGAACGTGAGGAGTCGACCTTTATGAAGTAAACCATTGCATTTAGCATTGCTGGGCAATGAAACTGATGATACAGTTGCAGTATACCCACTCTCGCTTGGATTCAGGTATTCAATCCGCCCTTTGGAATAACCGCCGCAAACCATTATTTTCTTCCCGTAAAGAAACGAAAATGAGTGCCACCGTTGGAAAAATAAACAATTTTTAATCAAAGTCCAAGTCTTCGTTGACCAGTTAAAAACCTCGACAGATTTTCCAATTTCGTCGTCGAATAGGTCACCACCAAAAATAAAAATTTGTCCGTTGACGACATTTTTCTCTCCACGAATGGCGGTAGAACTTTTGCAGGGAACTTCTTCCTGTCGACTTGTCTGCTTGTTGTTACGAACGCATTCTGAATTTGTTGCTAACTTCATTTTATGTTTAGTTCCGGTAGAAACAATTTGTTTCAAAGCGTCGTTCATTTCATCCAAACGTAATTTAATTTCATCTATCTCTTTCCTCAATCTTAAACTGCATTGATGGTTCTTATAATAATCAACATACACCAACTCTTCATCACAAGATTCGCAAGTTATCTTTCTAAATTTGCATTCTTCCGTCTCGTGGCTTTCTTTATCGCGTCTGTTCACCGTCTCTTTGCAGCCTTCGTTCGAGCAAACAACCGGAGCATAACCACACGTCTGTTCATGTAACAACAACTCTTCAACTTGAACATTCTCCTCACAACCTCGAGAAACATGACTGCAACGTGGTTTTTTCAACTGGGATACAACACTGGCAACAATTCGAGGTGCAGGTCGCAGCGTTTCGAGCGTCAGTTGGTCCATACAAAGTGGACATCTTTCAGAGTTTCCCAGATGCTTCGTGACACACTTCCGACAAAAATAATGCTCGTTGTTTTGACATTGAACTGGGTCATGTAAAACCTCCAAGCATATTTTGCAGGAAAAATCTTCACCGAGTAATAATGCTTCCTGATTGTTGTTCCCAGTCGTATTTCCATAGCCTAGGAATGAATATATTTGGCCCATACTATTTTATTTCCTGAACGGCTGAACCCAAGACGCTTGGCCAGACAGATATAAGATATCTATGGACACAAGTTTAATATGATGGGACAACTTACACCCTGATATAATTTCTGTGACTTTATGACCTCTAAGTGCTAGGTGTACCAATTTCATTGGTTGAATAACTAACGCTGTTTTACCAGGCTTGAATCACTTCCGTTTCTGCATAGGGTTAGGGTTAGGAGTAAATTTGTTCAGACATTGTGGGATCACAGTAGGAATTTTGCATTGGTAAATTCTAACTTTTGAAGGATTTGTAAGAAATGTTCTAGGGAACTGACTCGATGTTTAAACGCATTTATCTATTCAAAATTCCTACTGTGATTAGAGAAACTTTGATAGTGCAAGCCAGCCTTAATTCTTTCCGTGCTTATTCGCGTATCTATGGCTTTCTACAACAATTACCTGTTCTGCTATTATTACGTATAAATAAAGTACAAAATAACAGGAATGAAACAAAATTCACCATCAATTTTACTACAAATGTGAGTGTGTAATCTTTAGTACCTTATACTTAATTTTTCAGATTTCTTTAGTTTATTTATAAATCCAAGCTTTAGTGATGACAAAATATAAACAATATAAAATTTTATCTAACAGCCATAATATAAATTTAATATCAATTGGGTTAAAAATATTTTGTAAGCAATAATTTGACCGATATTTTCATTTTCCAATCCTCAGAGGGTCCTCAGACGTCTAGGTCTATGTAGTTATCCAGGTTTTCTTCAGATGTCTTGGTCTCACTCCATGATATCATCACGGGTTCAAAGTTCCATGTATCAGGATGTCCCAGAGGACGTGTCCAGCCCGACTTGGTCCAGTTGAAGACTGGTTGTTGGTCGTGGGTTGGACCACTTACTGCGTAGACTTTGAAATCTTGAAACAATTCATAACTGGATATCTGAAGAATAAGAAAATAAGAAAGGCTATCGTCTTTCCATAAATCTAATACCCTTTTTGCTCTAAAACCCCAGTCAAATGAGGATGAGAGTTGGTAATCATGCATTGTTACAGGGGACATTTCAAGCTCTAGATTAACAAAATAAATGTTTGTTGAGTGTTCTAACTACACGCGTAAAAATCTCACACCTTGTAACAAGTCTGCCAACAAGTTGTGTTCGCACTGCTTGTCCCAAGTTGTCAACAAGTTTGGAACAACTTGTAACCACCTTGTTGATATTATCAGACTTGATGCTTGTGATGTTACTCTGAGTGTATATCCACATTGGGCGAGCTTGAAAAATATGCCCGGCCACGGTGGGAATCGAACCTACAACCTTTGGAATACTAGCCCAATGCTCTGCCAACTGAGCTACGCGGTCAGGTCGGTTCGAGTATGTGCTATTTCGGAACAGAATCCTGGAACGACTTGTGCGTTTTTACGTGTGTATGTTTTAACTTAAATAAAATACAAGATAGTGTTGGGAAAGCATTAAGAACAGCTATAAACTTAATCTTGAGGTTTTGATGAAAGCGGTCAGTGCATGTGTCTTTGTGACCAGGGTTTAACTCCTACAAGTTAAGCATGCAGTTGTCTGAACATTACTTCGCCTCAGTCGCATGTGAGAAGAGTGACATAGTCACTTAAGTTTATACTCCAGTGTTATTGATCCAGTTTTACTACAGAAGGAAACCTAAACTAACTTTATTTATATTGGATAGCTCTATCAGTTCTAAAGTGTTCTCCCTAGAGGTCCAGTAAGGATCATCTCTTATTGATCCAGTGTTACCACAGGAGGGAACCTAAACTAAACTAACTTTATTTATACTGGATAGCTCTATCAGTTCTAAACTGTTCTTCCTAGAGGTCCAGTAAGGGTCATCTCTTATTGATCCAGTGTTACTACAGGAGGAAACTTAAACTAACTTTATTTATACTGGATAGCTCTATCAGTTCTAAAGTGTTCTCCCTAGAGGTCCAGTAAGGATCATCTCTTATTGATCCAGTGTTACCACAGGAGGGAACCTAAACTAAACTAACTTTATTTATACTGGATAGCTCTATCAGTTCTAAACTGTTCTTCCTAGAGGTCCAGTAAGGGTCATCTCTTATTGATCCAGTGTTACTACAGGAGAAACCTAAATTGAACTAACTTTATTTATACTGGATATATAGCTCTATCAGTTCTAAACTGTTCTTCCTAGAGGGTAATGATCATCCCTTAGTGATCCAGTGTTACTCCAGGAGGAAACCTGCTGTGTTTGGGAGAGTCAAACTGGAAGTGCTCTTCTCATACGTGACTATTGATTGAGTTGCACATTGCATAGAGTTCTTCTAAACATGAGACGACCTTAGCTGAACATCTTTACCATGAGAGTGAAAATGTTGTACGAAGGGGGAAATATTGCCTTTTCAATGCATACAGATATTTTATAAAGTATTTCTTGTACGTGCATGGAAGGTAATACCATATCTTATGTATGGTTATTTATTAGTTTGAAAATTGAATTCAATAATTTTATCGAATTTAGAATTATATACGTTGTACAGTACTTTGTATTAGATTGAAATGAGTGCATGTATTTGACATTTGATATCTTGCACTACTGGAACTATTAAATGTGTTGTGAAACTACGTATGTAATTACAAAGCAGCATTTTGTACATGTGAAAAAACCACCTAGTATTTATTAATTTATCAGATGTCATTTTACTTCATTTAAATCTTGGCATTGTTCTTCGGAAGGATATAGTATGCTGTATTATATTTACATGTATATACATATTGTATATATTATATACTGATATACATACATGTAGCATTGTATCTACAGTGAGTTACTGCCAGCCAGCCAGGTTCATAACCAGTTCTAATATTAAATGAGCTTTAGGTTATCTTTGCCTTAGATACAATAGATACTGTATGACAGCTTGTAAATATGACCAGGCTATGTCCACTACATAT